GCATTGCACTTGATAGGCATGTTCACTGAACAAATGGTTATAGTCATCATCCAGTCTAATGAATGGATGGATGACTTCATTATGTAATATGATTTCAGCCTTTGCTATATCACTCACTACTGTGTGATTAATGAGTAAATTGTCCAGAACTGTCTTGCCCTATTTTCTTCAAAATGTGGCAATTAAATTAGAGAAAAGATAAATGGTAATTCTTCTTTCTTTCTTAATTCAAGCATTTTCAATATAGACGTACTTTCTGTACTTTTATGTCTTCCTGGGAAAAAAACACTATGATGGTAGGTAGTAGGAAGACCTAGTTCAGTGCAATCCATTAGTACACAGTCATTGGCAATTAAAAGTCTTCTCAGACTATCACTGTAACCTTAGCTTAGATCAAATAAAATAATTCATATGAATCAGTCTAAAAACTATATGTGATCGTAAAATGTAAAATACATCATATTTATCCTTCATATTGAAATCCAAAAGATAGTATTACTCATGAATAAAATTTTATATGTATTTTCATGTATTTCCCAGTGCCGGAAAATAAAATTTTCCTCTTTGAAAAATAACACATGGGAGAATGCAGGTGGAATAAAACAGTTTTTCTGATAGCTTTATGAAAGTTTAATCCCAAGATTACTTTCAAATGCATCATCTTATCATTTATGAAAGGGACAAACCATAAGAATATGACTCATATTTTGGTCATTAATCGCAAGACGCAAAATCATGGGGAAGATGAAAAAATTATGAAACCAAAGAACTACTTTAAATCAGCATAAAATCTTGCTATCAATTCAAAATTTAAAAAATTCCGATAGAGCTGCAGTAGAATAGCACTATCCATTTTATGAAAAAAAAGCAAAACTGTATTTAATTCTAATGCATCTTTACTGATTTTGGTATAGTTGAAAATTTATCTCTAGCATGGCTAGATTTATGATAGTAGCTCATTTTAAATTCTTAAATACTTTTTCAGTGCTTCATTTTCTTAGAAGGGAAAACATATAGCAATATTTAAATAGTGTTAAAGCAAAGAATTATATTATTTAGTATATTTAAATTTAATGAGATTTTATGCACCTAAATATTAGATATAGCGTCTAATTTTCCAGGTACTGAACTTAACTAAACAAATGTATACGCCAAGCTACTTTTAAAAGTTCCAGTTTTCTCAGATACTTTAAGTTGACAAGAAAATTGGTCACAGATAGTATGACTATTTTTCTTACAGCAATTTTTCATTAGTAATGAAGTATCTAATCCATTCATGAAGGTTTCAACTTCTTAAACTATCATCTCTTAAGCAACTTGAAAAATATTTTAAAAGATAAAGATAAATATATCATTATAAATAAGAAAAGAAAAATATTAACCAGTTCGTTTTTGCTATCAAACTTCAAAAACTTAGAAATATTTTTTAAAACTCATTTGTAATTCTCCAAAGTTACAATATGTAAGAACTTTATCTATTTTATTACATACTTCAAATTGCCCATAAGAATTATTTCAGAAACTGAATATTCATGGAATATGTTGTACAGAAACCACCTTATTATGGCATTAATATTTTTATACGTGTTCTATATAGCTGGATTAAACAAATAGCAATATCTTAAGTATTTTCATCTTTTAGAATATTTGGTGGTAGACTAATTTGGTATTTTGTTTCCTGCTTTTGGTTAGGTTTTGCATACATCATCTTCCAAAGCAAAATACCTCAATCAATTAATATGGAAAAATATTATTAAAATCAACCTATTTCAGATCATCTCTACTATTGTGCAAAGGACATTACTCAACTTAACTGACATGTTTGTTTACAAAGAAAACAGTTTCATATCTATTTGGAATATAGCTGTATGATATTTTAAGTAAAGAAAATTTTCCATATTGATTTTATTTTTAAAATTTTGATTTTTGTCATCCTCGGTCTCTGATTAGATCATAAGAAAGAAATGTGTAAGTTTAATTACATTTGAAAATATTATTATAAGAGCTATATATCACACTTATTTTTGTTATTGAAATAGAAAGTAGTTTTTAATATGGGTCTCATAATTTTAGTTCAATATTCAACAAACAGTGACTTTCCAAAAACATGATTATCTACAAAATGGAAAAAAACATATTGTAATTTAATCTTACAAAAATGTTAATGAAAATAAAGTAGAAATATAAGCCAAATTATTTCTACTTCCAGGAGCTTGGGATTTATGCTGAAACTGCTACATGAGAGTTAATCAGGTTTAAACTCAGAAGTACGTAAATTTTATTCATATATTGGTTTAGTGTCCCAAAATTTTCTTAGGGCATTAATTTAATTTTGAGCAGAAAAACCCTGTTAATTTACATCTGTCCTCTAACTCACTTTATTCTTTATCTATCATTTGCGAGAATGTACATTTCATAATATAATTAAACATGCCCTGGTTAATGGCCTTTACTCATAGAGAGATTACACTGAAGTTTTGCAAGAGGCCACCACAGGAAATCAAAATTAAAATGAACTTAACACACCCTGTAAAATTTCTTCAAGCCAACATGACCAATGTAAAAATGTAGTCTGTATTACATGAGAAAAAAAACTCTATGCTAATACTCCATAATGCTAAATTTCAAGAGCTATTTTTACCCTTTTGTACCAAAGACAATGAGCTTGACCCATGAGGTTGCCTTATACTTGCTTCTTGCATGCACCTTTAATTAGCAAGGAAAATCACATGTATGTGTGCTTTTGGTGAGTCTCTTCCACAAGCACCAATCACCTGATCCACACTGCCTAACTGCTGATTTCCTAAATTCTGCTTAGATTTACCTTAGGGACATTTGGCACACTCATTTCTCACATGCATTTTCCTTTACTTTGCTACAACATTTTTCTTTATTACTGTTTGTTTTTTAAAAATACTTTGAAACACACAAAATCAATTGTATGTGATTGTGAAAAATATTACATTATTTCATATTGTGTTATATTGAATTCAAAACAGAATCAAGCTTTGTTTGTTTCAACTTTTTCAACATGTTATACTTTGTACTTTTTCTGCTTCTTTTTCTGTATGTAACTTCCTATCAGTTTTTTATATTTCCAGGTAATTTACCAATCCCGTGTTATTCCATGTATATTTCTATTAATAAATCAATACTAGTTAAAATGATGCCCAATGAAGTTAATATATGATAGGAAGAAAGGGTTAGCACATAGCTTCACATAGCTGAAGTTATTGTGCACACTTAAGTATATTTAACATTTTAATTTAAGCAATACAAAATAAAACCAAAATATCTGATACCTTTAAGAAAATCAATCAATATTCAATAATATTTAATGTGCAATTTACCATTGACAAAGCATGTTTACTTATATTTGTATCATAAGTTAATTTTGAAGCTAGTAACATTTGTATTGACGTGAGAAAATATTTAAATAAAAAATATTCATGTGTTGAGAAGAATATTTCCTATAGATCTATTTGAAATACTGACATCCCCTTTAACACTTGAAATATATAAAACTTATGAAAACAGCTATCTACACACCTAGCTCTACTCTATATGTATTTTGGTTTTAAATATCTTCCTTATGTTTTAATGTAGCATGAATTTTATCTCTAAATAAAATTATTATTAATTAAGTGATACTCATAGGGTCTGCAGCATTCCTGAAAGATAATACAGTTGGGACATTTTACTGAACTATCATGCTTCAACCTTTTTATGAAAATTTTAAAAAGAAGTAATGAAAAAACCCTAAAAATAAAGGAAAGGTGATCATACTACCTGTGAAATATGTTGAAGATAAAAAAAAAAAAAGAACGGATATATTTAAACTGAGGACAGCTATCCCCTAAACATTTAAATACCAGTTGCTTCAGTTTCTCTTGTTTCTTTTGTGTCTTTTTGTACTAGAGAATTTTTAAAATTACAGTGTCCCAACTTGATTTTAGAAAAGTGCTCTAAAATTAACATTAAACATTCTGCTGCTGCTGTGAAAGTTTATAAAATTTTATCTGAAAGCGATTCCTACATGTTTCAGATAATCTAGTCATCATTTTACTATATAAACTTCAAACAGTAGGAATTGCCATATAAAATCAAGAAAGCAAAATGAAATACACTTCCTTCAACAATAAAAAAAGCAACAATCTCATTAACTGATCATGTTTCAAATTAATACAGTTGACTTTTTTTTTCATGTAGTTATCTAGGATCTTGACATGGAATCACTGTACAACTGTTTCCTTGTAGCAGTATGTGGGGCCACTCATTTAGTTTCAATACTGGTTTCATCTAGCCAGCCTGGTTTGTGAATCCAGGTGAATCAGAGACTAACGTGATTTGACATCAGCATAAGGATTCATAGAGCTCTATCCACAGGATGCATGCATTATGTGATAGTAGGAGACATTTACAACCCAGAATATAAGCGTAGGACAGCCTCAAGTGACATCACCGCATCTTCTGCAGCATCAATCGACCTACTCAAATATCTGTGCTCTCCACATCACTCTCTGCTTTCCCCCTTATTAGCATTATTAGCAGGCCTTCCACTGCCTTCATATGTGTAACTGAGGACGTACCTTCTTTCAAAGCAAGACACGAGCTTACTCAAGTGAAAAGCAAATAAGAAAAAACACAGGCACCGAATCAACAGCCAGATAAAGGCACAGTTCTTACCAATTAGGCTTTCAGATGATAGGAACAACTCTGAAATATTAAAGAAGAATTTAACTTGAATTATCCAGAGAACACATGAAGAATCCCAGGAAAGAAGAAAAAAGGGGGAAAGAATGGAGAAAAAGGAGAAAGAGACCAGCTGAAATCTCTGAGACTTGATCTTGCTTTATGACTCTCATTTTCTCTGAAACCAGGAAATTAGAGGACTTTTTAATTTCTTACTAAAGATACTAATAACAATAATAAAAAGAAGGCGACTCTACTGCCTCATTTTAATTCTCTGTAAATTTATCAGTAACTTGTCTTTTACTTACAGGCGTTTGTTACAGCAAAACTGTTGGCTGTCTCGATGTTGTCCACATGAGGTACCAAATTAAAAGGAGCTTCCGACGCATTGGGGCTGGTGTTGTGAAGAAAAATCGCTAACCGAAAAGCAGTGTATTCCTGATCTGTGTTTCGGATGAAGAGACCACCTATCAAAAACAGCAGGGAAAGCACATTCAATGCCGCCTCTTGTAAACAGGATACCCAGCACAAGTACTGTCAAATTTACTGCAGCTGAAAAGCACACCCAATTAAGGCGCTATCTTTTCCACAGCTGGGGACACTGCACTTTGTCCCTAAGGTGCCAGCTTGGAATTTTAATCTTTAGTACAGTTCAGCCTTTTCTTGATCCAGTTTATCAGGATCACAACGATCTCTGAGACCATTTAGTGTGTTCTGCCTTCTCTCTCGTGCCCTCCCCAGGATTCACAGCACACTGCTAACACCATCCAGCTCAGGGCATCTCTCTCTGCCAGGCATGAACGGAAGAGAGATTGACATTAAAAAAGGAACACCTAAGAAATGTTGAGATAAGTAGGCAGTAGGGAAATCAGAAAGGAGGGATGAACTTTTATCTTTCCACAGCTCGTGGATCAGCCTGATCAGCTTGGTTGTGTGCACAGTCCACCAGAAATGATGCAGTGTTTGAGGCTGGGCTTAGCTGGAAGAAATTCAATAGCTGCGTCCCATTAAAAGACAGGAGGAGAGCACAGTGAGAAAAGCCAAGGATGGATGGGATCCCTGCAAACAGAGCAGAGGTGGAGAAATATAGGGGAAAGCTTTAAGAGAAAAATAAAAAGGAGAAGATCCCGGGGAGGATCTAACTTTGACATCTGCTAACCTACCGGGTAGCTAGACAAGGCAGGCGGTGCGGAGGAAAACGCACCCCCACCAGTCTCTCTGTAACAGGATGAAAGCCGCAGCAGCCAGCACGGGAAGAAGAGGGTTTGTTTAATAAAAATAAAACAAACTCTTCCCTTCGTGTTTTCACCCCTTTAAGGGATGAAAAGAAACGTAAAAGACAATCAGACCTCGCTGAGCCCCCCCCCCCCAACTTATTCCAGCCTACTTGAGCTGAAGGCAGAAAGAGGGGAAGGGTAAGGCGGGGTGGGCGGACTGTCCTGTGTGTGCCAATCGCACCTGCAGCGAAAGGCACATCTTTCTAGGCGAGAAGAGGAGATCAGAAAGGATGGAGCCGCCGCCGAACGTTTCCCTGAAATGCTTATCAGCAACTCATTTAACTCACTTTCGGATATCTGCTACAACCAGCCACACTCACACCACAGCAGAGCACAGCTTACCTATTTGCACGCTGCTCGGAAAGGCTCCCATGGCGAGTCCCCAAAATCCAGAAAACAACAAGACAATCTGACTACAAATAATCCTCATCTTCTTTTCTCCTCTCCCTGGAGCGCGCTCTCTCTTTCTCTCACACTCTTCCTAGAGGCTGTTCAGAGAGGCATTGAAGACGATGGCGCTAAAATTAAAAACAACCAAAAAAAAAAAAAAAGGAAAAAAGGAGAAAGGTTTGGGCGGTTGTGACTAGGACTCTTTCTCCTTAGCTAGCCATCGCGAGCTGCCAGGTTTTCCCCGCAGTCTCCATAGCCCTGGGAGAGGTTTTCTGTCCGGCTGCAAAGGTTGCACATGTAAAAGATGGTGGTGGCGCGTCTAGTGGCTGCTGGCAGGGAGGAGACATGCGCTCTCTCTTTGCCTCACTTGCACCCGCGCTCGCCCCTCGCTTCCTCACATACTCACCAGCGCCGGCGCCGCGGCTGCCGCACGCGCCCCCCCCCCCCATCCCGGACCCCAGCCCAGCCCCAGCCCAGCCCCAGCCCAGCCCCAGCCCAGCCCCAGCCCAGCCCCAGCCCGCAGCAGCCGCGTCCCAGCCCCGGCGCACCCTCCGCGCCCCTCGCCCACCGCCCCGCCGGCTCCCCGGTGGGTGCTCACCGCGCGCTCGGAGCTCGTCTGGAGACGGCAGTTATCCTCCCCACCGCGCACAGGCTCCCTCCACTCTTCTTCCCCGTTTCAGAGGGACGGGCTCCGGGGATGGGGTCCCCGCGCCCCTCTCTGGGCTCTCCGGGCGCTTGTGCTCCTTGGCTGCACTTGGCTGGGTATTGGCTCGCGGACAAGGGCTGCAAGCCCTGTTCAGGGGCTCAGGGGGCTTAGTACCTCCCCTTGCCCCCGGCCCCCTGCCGCATGCTGCGGACTCCGGGGAGGCCGCGCTGCCTCCCAGCTCGCAGCTCCGCTCCTCGCCTCCCTCGGTCGAGCCCTCTGCTGCCGCTGGGCTGCGCGCGCGGGGCTCCAGTCCTCGCTGCAGCAGACGCCCGGGAATCTGGAGAGCCGGACCGGAGTGCGGAGGCCAAGGGGCTCGGGAGGGTCAGGGGAGAGAGGGGGGCAAAGGTCAGCCTGGGGGACCTAACTCACCGGCTCGGGCTGCAGGACAGAAGTGGGGAAGGTAAGGCTGGGCAGGCCAGGCAGGGAAGTTGAAAAATCCCGGGGAGGGGAGCATGGAGGGACAGGTTAACTGGAGTAAAGGTTAAGGGTAAAGAAAAGGCCGGGAAATGCTGAGACAGGAAAACAGAAAGGGAAGTCTAGTGTGTTTTTGAAGGGCGTGAAACAGAAATAGAATCAATTAAGAGTCCTATGAAGTGAGGAGTAGGAGAAGTCATTAGGACCCCCCCCACCCCCACTTTCTTTCTTGGGGCTCATTCAGGAGGACCCTTCTCCAACACTGCAGGGACAGAAGGGACTTGGCGCGAGGACAAAGAGGAGGACCTCAGGCCACTGCTGGAAGTGGTGGGCACAGGTGTCTGATGCAGCTCTTTCCAGGCACATCTGGTTTGGCGGGGGCTCTGGAAGCCCCCTTCTATTTCCTGTCACCCTTCGGAAGTCATGAGCACTTGTCTGATGATGTGTGCAGTTGCTTTGACCATATAGAAGAAAATAAAACTGAATTATCCTAGAAAGTTTTAGGATTGTGGTGTCACTTAGCTCCAGACAGTCTTGGCTGTGGCCCCCGCCCTTCCAGGGAAGGTGGCTGTCTTCAGCGACAGATTTCTGACTTCTTATATGTGTCTTCTTCTGTATGTGTCTCTTATCCAGGCAGTCAGCTCGGTTTCCTGTCAGTAATAAACTCAGTCTTTAAAGGTAGGGACCTTTGGGCAGCGTCTCCCATGAAATGTTTACAAAGACCAAGTGCAGGTGTTTGTCTGACACAGCGTTTGGTTTTTTTTTTTTGTTTGTTTGTTTGTTTTTGTCTTTTTCATTTTTATCAGTACCGGGGATCGAACTCACGACCGCCTGCTTGCAAGGCAGGTGCTTATGCGGCTGAGCTAAACCCCCAGCCCCTTGGTATAAAAGGAAAATGGAAAGATTAAGGTAAAATGTTTTGCAGTGTCCCTACCTGGAAAGGCTTTTAAAATATGTATTCTTTATTCTTTTAAGCCTTCTTTTTGAGTTTGATTTTGTGAATAAATTTTGTAATTGTGACTTGACAAATACTTGTCATAGCATGGGGACCACTGCAGAGCTGTCAGCAGCTCACCATCAGGAGTTACCTGTAGTTTGTAGACATTCAGAATCGTGTTAATAGAGCTTTCTTGTTTTCTGAATTTTGAATTTTACTTTTATAGTTCTATTGTTTTTGCATTTATTTACTTTCTTGTTTCATTTCAGCACAGATTGTTATGACAAAAGCAACTCGCTGTGAGTAATTGGGTTACACAAATCATACATTTGTCATTTTAGTTTATGAGATTTTAGTCTTGCACATCAAGTGGGACTTGAAATGTTTTGTTTTTTACCTTTTCTATCTGTGAGAGCCACGCTGCAAATAATAGCATTCTGCTTTCTGTATGAGATAATAAAATAGGCTACATAAAATTCACGTTGAATTAATGCAATTAAAATTTCAAAACCCACTAAACTGTTAAACTCATTGCCTACTTGGGTAACTAGTGAAGCTCTGATTGACGTGCAGAGAAAATAATTAACCTTTATTATTTGAAAACTGAACGATGAGTGCTTTCAGGTGATGGGTGCTGTAATAATACCATTGATATGGCTGCAGGATAAGTTTTATTTTTCATTCATTCTTGGAAATACCTGGATTAATGCAGCTACAGGTAATTTTATGTCATGGTGATCTCTCTTTCTTTACATATGTATAATATATTGAGGCATATTATTTTACATATTTGTCATATATGGAGGTATACATACTTTTCAGGTGCTTGAGGTATAAAAGGATGGAAAGCATAATCTCTGCTCTTATTAGAAAATATGTAATGTTTACAGATGCTTACTAATGGGGTGAGATTGTTTCAGGCCTTACATATACCACTAGATCAATAGAAATCTCTAAGTGTCAATAGGTAGGTAAGAAATCCATCTGGAGGTTAAAATTCATGTTCAAGTTTATATTGTTAGTAAATGATAAAACAGAGCTCGGAATAAAAATCAGGTGGTCTGATTTCAGAAACTGCTGTCTTTGATAAAATCTACGATGCCAGTGAGTTCATATTACAGTGAGGGTCTAGGAGCTGAATAGGAACAGGAAAAGTCCATGGCAATTGGAAAGGTTGTGTTTACCACTTAAAACATATCAAGTTTTTAGAGTAATAATTCTGACTTTGCAGTACAGCCTCCCAGCTGCCTGCCTGTGTTACTTGGCTATATTATTCAAATATCTCGTCACAGAATATAGGTAGACTTTCAGCACAATTTTAACACAGTACCCAAATCTAATTAATAAAAATTTGCCAAAAAGTTTTCATAAAAGGAGGTACAAAGGGCCACATGAACAAAACACAGTGTACAATTCTGACTAGGAGGAAAAGCAGAAAGAGTTTACAGAGAAATAGAATTTGAACTGAAATTTTATGAATTTGTGACAATTATCAGATAGAGGAAATTTGGTTGGAGGGTGTGTAAGTTCACATCCCTGTCTGGACATTGGTGCTTCTGGCTGTGTGAGGGCAAGCAGGGAAAGTGAGGCTAGGAAGCAGAAGGAGGGATGGTTATGAGCCACTTCTTTTGAAGTTTTGTCATTGAATCATAGAGATGGAAAACCAATGAAATAGTGTGACTAGAGGGGTGAAATGCTGAGATTTGCACTTTGGACTCCAAGTCTTTAAGAAAGTTTGATGAAAACTGTACAATGAAGCTAGAGGCAAAGACAGATTTGGAAATTTTAAATAGAATATAGATGAAAAATTATCGTGTCAACAAAGCAATTTGCTAGTTGATCTTGATGTCATACTTTTAGTTTAATCCTAAATATAACCTACCAGATTCATAACTTTTACATACACAAAAATGTTTGCTATTTTCCAGAAAAAAGCAAAAAGGAATCTACATACCCATTGATAGGAGACAATCTTGCTAAGTTATGGTACATCTATACTATGATGTGCCATGCAAATATGTTACTACTAAGGGAAGAGCAGTGTGTCTGCATGTCACCTCTGGATGATCTCAAGACACACTGTTGCTCAAAGTGGTCTAAAGTAGACATTTTTATTTATTTTTTTAACATTTTCATGTTTATTTTCAGTATAGGATGCTCCTGAATCATCATACATAATCCTTGTTCTGTCCATTTTTCTGAAGAGTGGAGAATGGAAAACCAAGAACTAGGCATGAGTACAAATAGTGTTATTGGTGTGTCTTTATGAAATTTGATAAAAAAGAATATGGTGAATGCTGCTGCTGAATGACAGCCAGTAGAAAGATGGATTCATTAAAATATTGTGGTGTGTCTTCGTTCATCTTATTTACTAGAACTGGCAGTGTGTGATTTGTGGCTCTTCCCTAGAGTCAAAATGATCATGTAGAGAATAGGTATTGAAATGATTTATGATATCAAGGTCCTGAAGAGAGCAAAACTATAGACACAAATGAAGATGGCCAGAACTGCTTAAAAAGTGACCAGAATGATGAGGTAAGTGTGTTCAAAATGAAGCAAAGTACTTTGAAAGGAACCATAATATGTTTTTTACTATAATAAATCAGAGGCAATATTTTAAGATGTACATTCATTGTATTTTTCAATCATATCTCTGTATCTGTATGTATATCTATGTCTATCATATATATATATATATATATATATATCACATACTAGTAATTCTTTCCCCATTTATAAATATTTTAAATTAATTCATATTGCTGTCTCCCATTCAAATTCAATACTGTAGCATTCATTCTGGTCTCCCTTCTTATTTAACCATTACTTTACTTGCCAGTACTAAGAAACTTGGCTTCCACAATCAAGTAAAATATATTTTTTTATGATGTTACACCTAAATCTAAGTTCTCCAAAAACAATTGAACTTTCAATGCCATGTATTTTGTTTTCAGACACTGGTAAAAACTAAAAATGCAGTAATTTGCATTGTCTATAATTGTTAATTTTATTCCTGGAAAACATTGAGTTTTGTAAACAGTATAGACAGGTCTTGTTCTTGATATTCTTATAAGAAGCTAGTGCATTGTCCAGAATACTATCAATTTAATAATTTTTTTATGAATTTACTAGCCAAATCACTGCTTAGTAGCTCCTTGTTTTTTTGATATGTATATGTTTTTCTCCAATTGATTTAATTTTTTAAATTTTCATGTATTTTGCTGCTATAACTTTGCAGCAACAGAAACAATACCTTGGTGCCTCGCCTTGCTTTACATTTTTATCTATCTGTCTTCCATCTTAAAATCAGAACAGTAATCTTGCTCATAGCAGTTGGTTGATAAATCTTTTGTCATCTATCTACCTCACATGATCTTTCCATGAAACTGATTTGTCATGTGCATGACTTTAATACTGATAAATAATCTCCAATCCAGAACCACAGAATTCTCATTATAAAAACATTGCTTTTCCTGTTTTATGTTCCCCATGCCTCTCCATAGTCATTGTAATTGAATAAAATCACTGACTGGAACCTGGAAGATTTCTCCTCATCTACTCATTCACTCACCATGTATTTCTAGAATATTTCTTATGAATTATGGTATCATGAGGGAATGGAAAATTGTTGTATCCATCATGACATCTTGGCTAATAGTTAAAAGACTTCAAAAATGTACACATATGCATGAACACATATACGGAAGTGAGTTCAAGAATTATAT